AGAAAGAAAGAAAGAAAGAAAGAAAGAAAGAAAGAAAGAAAGAAAGAAAGAAAGAAAGAAAGAAAGAAAGAAAGAAAGAAAGAAAGAAAGAAAGAAAGAGAAAGAAAAAAAATTAATTCTTGACAAAGGAGTTAGTTAAGCAGGGTAAAGGACAGCACTTAACATACAACAGTAATAATAACAATTTTACAGCTTTCTGCTGGGGAGGTAGCTCTTGGCCAGCTGGTTGCTTTCCCTTCCTACAGTAACCTTCACTCACAATTTAGGATTATTTGAATCTTGTTAGACAGCAAGGCCTGGATAGCTTCTGCTTTCCCACACACCAAACTCTTAAACAGAGACTTCTGCGGTCCTTTTCCACTTTCTAGTGTTTGCACCCTATGCTGAAACCTATGCTACTCTATTCACTTATATAAGAGTAACTCTCCTCAGGCATAGTTACACAAGCTTAGCTGACCTTGACTTTTCTACAGTCTTGCATGTATGATTCTTTTCTCCTTCATGCTAAATTTCCTTCTTAAATAGAAATGCTACCCAAACATAATGATCGAACATGTGCAAAACCTGTATGTTTTAGAACTGCCTAAGGGTCCTTTCTACTTACTGCTGTTATGCTCTGCCAGTTCTCAACCAAACCCCATTTCTAGTTTGGCCCTGTGTCCCCTGAGGAATTCTTGTGCTGGGAGACAATGTCAGAACTTTGCTTTCCCTTTACACCTCAGGCACCAGTGTTGCCCAAAGTTAATGTATGTTTAATATCATACAGATAATAACCCTTTCCACTAAGCTCTGACCAGGCATCAGCTTATTATCTGTTCTTTGTTCCAGATGGAATTTCTCTGTGCTATAGCATATCTCCAGAAGCAACTCCAGAAAAACCCTATCTAGAGCAAGGCTGCTGGAAAGATTTTCCCAGTGACTTGATTTCCTGCTTCAAATGATCAAGTAATACTTTGGTATGTTTGGATTGACTGATTGTCATGATTTACTGCGCAACTGGTGGCATTTCAATGATAGGTGTTATGTGATCTTCATGTGTGCATTTCTATACTAAATGATTCCATGTTTTAAGATTCCTCAAAAAAAAAAAAAACTTTCATGGAAGTTTGATTTTTGCCTTCCTTCATCAGGGTTAAGGAAGGCTGAAGAAATTGTACTTTCCTATCTTAGTAGATCTTTTTCCTTCTTCTCCTGGATTTTTTAATGGGTTAAGTTGGGTTTTATGTTCAGTTTCAGCAGATAGCATAAGGGTTGAAATCTTAAAAGAACAAAAAGGAAATGATTGAGAAGGTCTTTCTGAGGATGATAGCTCTGCCTTGTAATATAATACTATTTCTCATGGGAGTGAGTGGGAGGCCTGCCTAAATTTCCTTTTCCTGTCCTGCCAAATTCCCCAAATTGCATAACTCTGTATTCTCCTTACACAGTGGTACCCTTGGCATCCCTAGTAAATCTGCAGGGAAGCAGTGAAGTAGCTGGAGGCTTGAGGGTGGACCAAAATTGGTAGAGGGCAGACTTGGTTAGCCAAAAAACAAAACAAACCCAAACCCATGAACTGAATTTACTAATTCTCTCATGTATAACAGAACAGCACAATACAGATTTAATAACATACACTATTTTGTTCTAAATGCACTCCATCTAGGAAAAATAAGCTTATCAGGATAAGCAAGGGACCCATGGGGAGTTCATCAGTTCAGTTTCAAGTCACAGGATGTGTTTTACTTGGCTTTGGAGCCTTCTTGTGCAAGATTAATGTGAAACTGCTGAAATGAAAACTGAACAAAAAGGCATATTTTTACTGGTTGGTGCTTTCCTCCCCATGCCATTATTTTCATTGTGAGGTCCCATCACTGCCTTCCCCATCATCCTTGCCTTAGCCTAGCAAGAGTATGAGATAGCATCTCCTTCACTTCTGTGTGGGAATGAAAGAAGGGCTACTGGACCAACAGTATGGCCAGTATCCCTCATAGGGATGTAGCGCTGAAGGATTTCACTTAGTTATTTCATTGAATAAGTGAAGAATTAGGACCTCATTAGAGTGTGGAATATGGCAATCTTGGGGTAGGTTCTGCCTGAGTACAGAGGGAAAGGTTCACCTCTTTTGGAATAATATTTCTGTTTCTTGAAAGTTCAAACAGACAAACTCATTACTGGCGAAACTTTATTAAGCTTTACTGGAGCCTATCCTGACCATGTTTTTAGGCCAACTGTCATTAAGATGACTTCTCTAAAATCAAGTAAATCCACAAAGATTTTGTTTGATAATCCTGCTCTTACGTTGTGCGTACAGCACCTTGAATAGGTTCTGTACTGTTGTTCAGACTATTTGAGAGATCAGGTACTACTCAGTGTGTGTAAGGGTGCGAGAATCTGGCTCCAAATAATTTCTTTTTCTCTCATTGCTACAGGAACTGGAAAAGACAAGGGTGTGTGGGCGGGCCTGGAGTCCCTCCAAGGAAAGTGTGAGGCCTTGGGCAAAACAAATCCATCAGGTCTCTCATTTCTTCCAAATATAGGTCTATTTTGAGCAATAGCCAAACTCAAGTCTAAAATCCACATTCAGCCTTTTCAGAGGGAATACATGAAAAAGACCCTATGGCCTACAGAGTCCATCTATAGAAAATATTTTGATAGCTCTTCCGCTCTGGCATTATTTTCCAGTTAAAAAGAAAGAAAAAGAAAATACACAGAACTGGAGCACATGATTCAATTTTACAGTGTAAAATATCTGGTTGATGAAAATAATATTTCTGAAAACAATCTGTTGTGAGCTATCAAGCATTTTTGCCTATGTACCAATTGGCAGGAAGTAGACAGATAAATTATTACAATATGTAGCAAAACAAATTGCTCTAAAGAGAAATGGTATTTGTGAGTGTATGAGCAGGATAAGGAGAATCAAATCCATAAACATATGCTGAGAAATCATCATCACAACGTAAATATACTGGAAGTGAATGCACTCACTTCAACCCTGTCTCTGTCTGAGGCTTCAACAAGACAGATTTTATGATATGCAAATGTTTTCCTGAAGTAGAATATAAAAATTCTGGACTTAAATGAAAAAGAAAGAACTTGGGAAGTTTCTGCTGTTGAGAAGAAGGGGTTTCATAGCTATTTTGCCAAGATACTTCCAAATTTGTCAGCCATCACCACATTTAATAAAATGGAACCAATTGCAGCAGCTCTCCAGATCTTTAATACTCTATTACTGTCCATGGGAAAATTTCCTGAAGTGCTTATGGAGATAAAGATTTAGGAGACAAAATCCCATTAACTTTCAATAAGGCAGTTTCTTTCGAGCCTGGCAAGTGGACAAATTATACCAAGACAAACTCTATATGAAATAACAGCATGTCCATTGCTCTGTTGTAAATTTCTGTGTACAGAACAATGACTAGTTAGTGCAAAGCAGATGACTCCTTTTCCATCCAGAGCCAAACCACCTTAAATTTGCTTCAGAGTTTGGGCCATGTATACTGTCAGTTAGTGAATAGCAGCAGACAAGCTGCAAATTTGCTGTCTGCCATATCCTAAATATACTTTTAACAATAAAAGTGATGCTTCCAAGCTGCATAAGGTAAATCTACAATTACATTTATGAATTACTGTCACCTAGCTTGAATCACGCTTCCCTCTTTGCCCCATTTCCCCTGCTTATACTGTACCTGCAACCTGCATCCATGCCATGTGTCTTTACTGTTGCTGAAGTGTGAAAGGCAATCCTTCTAGGAATAAGCCTCCTTTTTCTTCCTGAATTTTTCTCTATTTGTAGAGTAAGCAAGAGCATATAAAAAGCATGGAGGTTTGGAAAGGGGAGTTAATGGAATTGTTTCTGGGAAACGTGACAGCATAGATAAATTTCAGACATGAGACTAGAGAAGGAGGCAGAATGATATGGAGCACATAATTGATATTGCCTCCATAACAAGGTTGTATGGTTGATTTTAGAGTCAACACTATAGAAGATTAGTAGATTTGATTGTTACTGCATTCATAATAAGGTCAATAAGAAACAAACTTTTAAAAAGGTGTCTATGAATATATGAATCTCATGGAAAATTAAAAGAGCTTTACTCATTGTTTTCCACTTTAAAAATCCTTCCCTATATCCAATTTATTTCCCACAATCCAATTTTTCTTTCAAGCCAAGCACACTTGTATGTGACAAAACCAGAGTTCCCAAATTAAAGGTAGTTATGGGCCTCAGGTTTTCTATTTCTTTTTTCCCTGGGAAACATATTCTATGGGAAACATATTCCGGATCCCCAAATATGACAGGGAATTATTTAGCCATGTTTGAAGGCAGAGATAACTGCCTACAACAAATACAGAGTCAAAGTAAAAGGTTCCTTCTACAGATTCTTGAATCTGCTCATTGTGAAGGAACCATTCATGGTTTGTCAACAAAATAGCTGGTAGTAATTGCTAGCAGAAATGAGCTAGCTGTACAGACTGCTGACTTCAGGCAGTCTGTGATCATGTTATTTAAGCAATAAAATAAAAGCAATAAAGTAAAAGATTGTGTGGCTGAAGAATTACCATGCTGAGGTCTGCTGTACAGAGTGACAGTTAACTTGAAAAGGTGGGCTGTGAATAAACCCCTGTAAAGGGCCAATAATAATAGGTAAGTATATTCCAAACAGCTGTATCTCATATCACCTACCAAAAGTTGGAGAAATTTGGTCTTGTTTGTCATTGAACATACTGTAGGAACTCATTAACGTGGCTAAGTCAACAGCCTCAATTGCTGTGAAAAGATTAACTTGACAGAGTTGTTTGTGGGTTAAAGACTTTTGCATGCAGCTACAACTTCATCACTAAATCATCAAGTGCTGGAACTATCTACTCGTGTTTCAGTGCCAGATGTACTGCTGTGGTTTTAAGAGAGATTTTTCGAGGGCCAAGGAGAGGGTTTTCAGTTCCTCTTTCATTTGACTGAGTGCTCGCTGGACTTTCTGAGGTGTGTTCAGAACCTCTATGCTGCTGGTGAACAGGTCGTAGCGCAGACAGAAAGGCTTTTTGATCTTCATTGTGTAGTTTATGCTGGGGAACGGAGACAGATCTGCTAGTTCAGAAGCCATTCCCCTAAATGCAAAACCTGTGGGACCCAATTTCCCAGCATTAGGCATGGATTTCATAAGGGGAGCAGCGGCAGCTGCAACACCCTCCACACTGCCCCTCACTAGTGTTGTCTGCTCTGTCATTCTCTCCCCCCTGCTGCTGTTCTTGCAACCCAAAAGATCCACTGTGCCTCTTCTCGGCATGGCCGGCTCAGCCCCTGTCTGTGCTCTTACAGCTCTACATTAATGCAGCTCAGAGCCACTACAATCACAAGCTAGAGGAATGCAGGAATACAGCATGTCTGACTTCTTCACTTCCAAGAAATAACCTGAAGTAGCTCTTGCTGCATAAAACTGTAAAAGAGCCATTGATATTAGGCATCCTGGGCTACTTTGCCTTCTCTACTGATGAAATAACATGGTTGCTTGCCATTTTTGACAATATTTCCATTAAGTTCATGCTGGTAGCAACCCCCTGTACTGATGTTGCCTAATCTTTTCCGTTCTGACAGATCCTTGTGCCTTCAGTTATTATGAGCAATTTTGGCTGAGTAACTGTCTTGAAAACAAGTATGAAAAAGCTTCAGATCAGAGAATGGTGTATTCCTTGTCCTTTTATGTTGTTTTCGGTTTGACCAAGTCAGATGCTCTTGAAAAGTCTCTCTGTTCTGTGCAGTGATTCTTAGCTGTGTTTCTTTACAGAGGGTCAGGATAACAACTAAATGTGAAACTGGGTTTTAAAAATTAGGGGTCTAATTTGTCATTGCTATAACCCCAACAGACTGTTCTTCTGGGAAGAAAGAGGGGGAAGCAAAGGAGAAGTCTTGCCTTTTCCTAAAAAAATCCTTCACTTTAGCTTTCTCATGTTCCCTACTGGCTTTACTAACAGCCTCCTGCGTCCAGGCAGAGATGGTCCTGTTGTTCAGACTATTGGAGATGAAGGCCCAGAATGCCAAAAAAGAAAATCTTTTTTTAATGATAAATAACACAGTCAAACTAATACTGCTAAAATGATGTTATTTAGGTTGTAGTAAGTTACTTTTTAGGAACTAGATTGCCTGCTGTTGCTGATTTTGCATTCTTGCGCAGGTATAAGCAAAGGGGAAAAACAATCTCTTGTTTTTAAGCCCCTGCTGATCCATATTAATTCCTGAGTCTGCAGTAAAATTTGCCTGTGACCTCAGCTAAATCATTTTACTTCTTTATGTCATCCTATTTGTATGGAATAGCACACAGATAACTGAACTGGGGAATTGCACTCTGCCACACGCTGCCCAGGTTCAGAATTTATTCCTACTATCAGAGTAAAGATGAGGCATTGCTAAGATGGAGCACAGAAAAGGACATAGCAATATGGAGCTATGCTTTTCTGTGAAGTTTTTCATAGACAAAACAACATTGTGTTTAATTTAATTCTAAAAATGTGTTTAGCTTAATTCTAAAAAAGCTACTGTGAAGACGAAGTGTGTGGTGAGATAGATAGGCTACCTTGGTTAAAACAGTAGTGGTGGATGCATTTGAGATTAGGGTTCAAGCTGCTGTGTCCCCCGAAATGAAAGAAATAGCTGTGACTGCTTTACTCAATGGAGCTTGGCCTTGGCACCCTCAGAATTTTCTACTACAAAACAGACAGGCTGGTCCTGATTGGAACAAACTGCACTCACTTCTGGATCAAAAGGCTTGTGCTCTGGCTTGTTTGATAGTGCATATTTTGCAACAGAAATGACAAAACTTAAATATGACTTAAAACAAGAAATAGTGCCTATACAGCTATGAAATAACCTTCATGAAATGGTTTAAAGGCAAGAGCTATTCCTACTCCTTCACAGGTGAAAGTTGGCTTTCATAACTATCAGTTATTAAATTTAAAAAAGGAAGGAGATGTTTATTCTGCTACTGCAACATTAGGGTACCACAGCTGCATTCTCAGGCAGAGAGGGATATCTAGCAGAAGAATACTTAAGATACTTCATAGTATCACACTTCCTTTTTTTCCAGCCAGTACGGTAGAAGACTCATAGCACCTAGCACTATTTCAGAGTCCTCACCTACCAAGCTCACATTTCTTACTGTGCTAAAGAGTGGACAACAGGCTCATGGTATTTTCTGCACAGCTCCATGCCAGGAAGAGCAGCCTAAAAGCTACTCTGAAACAAAGCATGAGCAATCTATGGGCAGTGTATGGGGCAGATGGGGAGAAATGGAGGCATGTGTATGCATTTCTGTTTTGGGCTCACAAAGGTAACAGGTTCTCCTATTTTCCCCTCAACCTGGAGTATTACAGAAGCCTCTTACATCCATACTGCAGTCCACAGGCCCCTTGGTCCCATGTTTAGACATACTAGAGCCAACTTCAAACTAGGCAGCAGTAGGCCAAGTGCCAGTGGGAACTGAAGTATGGGTGACAGTTGCTTCATACTTCTGCGGGGACCTGAGAAGGTAGCAGAGTTCAGGCTCCAAGTCATTCCCTGCACAGTTCATCTGATACTGAAACTGCATGAGCTAATTTAAAGCTAGCTCAACTTTAGTGATGCTTTAACTAACTGTATATGTATTTAAAAGCTGGTTTGAGCTCCAGCTAGCCAGGATGATGTGCCTCCCTGCCTATCTTTCTCTCTATTCTTCCTCAGTCTTCAGAAGGCTTCCTTCATCATGTTACAATCTAGATACTGCTTTTTGTAAGAACCAGTAGAGTGAGGAACACTGTATAAGACTTGCAGCTCACTCTTAGATGTTTCACTGAACTGAGCCTGAACTCTCCATCTTTGGAGGCCTGCCTTAACCAGTAGGCCAACTTGTTACGGAGCTGATGCAGAAATTAATAAAAGGTTCTTAAAAAAAAAGAACAATAATATAAAATGTTAATAGACAGTACTTTTCCTGTTCTTCATTTGCACTGTGTAATTGAAGAATAAACCTTGGAAAGCACTCATACAGTCTAAGATAGATGGTATATACAAACCTAAGCCTGCTCTTACAATGCTATAAACTCTGAGGACTAATGGGAAAAGATTTTAGAAACTCAAAACCTGACAGGGGTCCCACTGTGTTGTCAATGTCTAAGCAGAACTGAAATCCCATTGATTTCAGTGGAAGTTCTGCTTGAAACTGGATGGCCTGAAAGGCCTCTACAATTTAAGAACTTGTTGTGCTGCAAGAAAAGCATATGTAGCACTGAGTGCTGCCAAAAGTGTGGTATGAGCCATAAGATTTTACAGTATGTAGGAAAGAGTCCAGCTGAGTGTTAACAGGAGAAGCATTTCAGATAATGCAGAACAGCTGACAGAATATAGTGAAATAAACACTGCAATAGCTATTGGGGATGAATTCTTACGGTTCAGAAGAGGCAAGGTTGGCCAGCAGTCAGACCCTCTACAACTGTTCAGTTCAGCCTTCAGCACAGTTATCCCGTCCCTCTGATACCTACCTGCTGTTATTGAATGATTTGTTAGATAACCTGGATTCAAGTGCTGACCCCATGCAGAGGACATGCAGTTCTACCTCTTCTGCATCATCTACCTTTTGCTAAGCGGTGAGTTTTGGCAGGATCAGCTGAATTCAGCCTGATCAGAGTGGATGCTGTAGAGAAGAGGAAAGCGTTTTGAAGATTTTGAAGCTAGGATACAGTTCCTTGGTTTACAGCCATGCCCACAGCCAGCCTGGCCAGACCGATTCAAGGATGTTCCTAGACTCCTTCCTAGTGACGAAATGGACATGATGCTGTTGACCCTTCCCAGATGGTTAGAAGATGTCACCTTGTAATCCACCACCTGGCCTTAGCTACTAGTGCCTTTTTCACCTCCTCAGCAGCCAAATCATCCCAATTTACTTGGGCAGGAAAGCTACAATGATGAGAAAACTCCCTGCTGCATGCAGGATGCTGCAGTGGGTCTCTGAAGCATCACTAGTTGCAGGGAATCTGCCCATGCCACTTCTTACACTGATCAGCTAAATGATGTGGAGTAGACAGCCACAGTCCACAGGCACACAGCTGGGCCAATATTTAAAAGACTTGCAGATAAATATCAGGACCAACAATTTGGTTTCCCTTGCACAATGACTTTCTCCCACGGATAGTGAAACTTACCTCGAGCTTTCTCAGGAGCTGATCAAAGACTGTAAAACAAATTCTACAAGGGACTGAAGGCTATCGCAAGCCTCAAAAGTTTCCAGTCTAAAAGTGCAAGGAGCAGTTTTACTTCGTTTTCTCTAATGCAATTGCTTAACCACTGTTGTATTTCTGAAAAAAAAAAAAAAGCATCTACAAAAATAGAAATCACACTACATTTATTTTCTCTCTTCAGGTGTAAAAGAAACAGTTGATAAATGTTATCCAGTAGCTAGCAGGTACTTAGGCATAGAATCTCAGCACTTTGCTCACACTGCCACTGATTCTACACTGAAATTAGAATTATGGAGACTACAATGATTAAATAGAAATGTTTTCTGAATTTCAACTTTGTTTCAAATAAAAATTTGTGTGATTCATCAATCAGCTGTAAAAGGAAACTTCAGCACTTAAGTCCATGGGTATAATTAATTCTTCGCAAGCAGTTTGAGATGCTCAAGGTGACCATTGAGCTGCTGTCCCAAAAACTCTCCAGAGAAGAACTTCCCAAGCTCACACAGGGATTGCACAGGTCATTTCTGGTGAACTAACTACCCATCCTCAGTCTGACTCAGGTGTGTTGTGCAAGAGGGACACAATTCTGGAAGGAGGCATCCTTTTTTGTTTCCTGTTGAATACAATTGCTATCACCTCTGTATGTAATTTCATAAACATGATGGATGAGAAACCTGGATGGAGCCAATAGTGTCAAGAACTTATCCAGGTGCATAACCCAAGCAACTATAGATAATAAAGGGAATTATGAGAAACTCTTATTTATCAACTCAAGGACAGTTATTTTTTTCCGCAGTCAGCTTTAGAAGTAGGCAATCTGAAATGCAGTTATACTTTGTGTTATATAGCACTATTTTGAGAACGAGTAACACTGGGCTACTGCTTTAATGAAAAGCAGAACAGTTTGTTGATATCTGGGGAAGAAAAGAAAGACGGGAGGGAGAACACAAGTGCTGTATGTTCTAACCCAACCACTAAATAGAAATGTTTGTTATGTGACATACACCTTCACCGGTGTGAAATTCAAACTAACAGAAAAAGACATAACATCATGCAGATAGATTCTGCAGTGAATATTAATATGACAGCTAGGCAATAATAAGAAGCATATAGACTCCATGGTTTTTAGATTCCCTTAAACAGCAAGTGCAATCCTGGATTTCACAGATGAGGTCACTCACTAACTTGGTTCCTCTTAGCCACAAACTTAACCTTAGATTCAGCCAGGCTCCCTTGCTTATGATGGGATGATTAAAGATTTAAATCAGAATTGCTGGAGGCTCTCCTGTGAAGCCACTAGTTAACCTTTTCTGAGCTTCTGAACTTTAGCCTAGGTCCCCCAAAACATAAGTTTCAGAGACATGAGTATCAGTGCCCTTTATTGTCTTGCTTAATACCTAAATGCTTTTGAGTTAAAGTGGAAAAGTATTCAGGCAAGCAGAACAAAACAAATGTTGCCTTGAAATGGATTTTGATATTGAATTTTCTTGGTGTTACAAGATTAATAAAAACGAGTCCATGTTTTCTGCTTGTTGACTGTGAATACAACACGTACCAAGAGATTCTCAGAAAATTAGTAGCGTCAGCTTTATCCTGAAACTCATAGATGTGTAAACCAGATATGTTGCACTGCAGCCTAATTTGCGTTGTTCCAAAACAGTACATTTCACTCTCCTAAGGAGCAGTGCTGCAGCAGTGTTAGCATATTCCTGTTAATGATCATGTGCACAAATCAGGTTGCTGTGCGGTAAAAAAAACACATTTGTTTCTTTACAGAGGTGATGAGGACACAGATATCTTCACTTATCAAGTGAGAAAGCTCTGCAGATCATATACTACTGAGTCTGCAAACAGAACTCTTGAGTTTGCAAGTGTTGGGAGAAAAAACAATGCGAAGGTCAGCACAGTTAAAATGAAAGGTCTGTGAAAGTTCCTTTTTCTATGCACTAGCTTCCATGTGTCCTCCTGCTCTTATGATAAATATTTTGAGATATGCTAGTGGATTGTCTCCTCTTTTTGTCCTTGATTGGGAGAGGGCTGACAGTTCTACCAATCAGGAGAGTGATGTAATATCTGTAATATCATGATCATTCTAACCTCAAGCCACGGGCACCAAAAGAAAAATGATGGCTTCATGTGAGTGCATCACATAGTTGGTGGTATGTTGCTTTATCTATCTGTTAAGCTTAAGAAAGGATGAAAAAAAAATGTATATAAATAAGAAGACTTAAAAAAACACCTATTTTCCTTTGTCTCTTGCCCATGCCAAAAAAAGCATTCATTATCTGCACAAATTTAAGCAATTGAGAACGGCTGATTTGGATGCTGAGCTTTTGGCACTTATGAAATAATCATCTGCTTCCATGCTCTGCAAAACAAAGAAATGGATACCCATTCTGTCGGCTGTTTGTAAGGAGAGGAAACCCATAAGCTCTCTGTAAAGGCATACAGTCAATCTGCTGAAGGCAATTTCAAACATGTGTGCAGTGATTTTCATCTGCATAAAACTCCAATCTGGAATCAGTTTTGAAAAGCATTTCAGAATGTAAGATTCTATAGAACTTTCTTATCGTCAGTGCATGTGCTATATACAGTTTTCTGGCACTTCATTTGGTCCAGTCAGACAATCCTCTTCTAACATATACGTGGTCAATGCCATGGACAAAGAAGGAGAGAATTCATAATAGGCATAATATTGCCCTCTAGTGAATAATGCAGAAAGGTACATGAGTACATACATAACTGTATTACTACTGGACAGGAATAGTAAACAGCTAGTCTAATAGTTTACAGGTTGTTGTTTTCACTGCATTTTTTATCTTTAGGTTATCATTTGGTATAGCCCTATGGCATTCTGTCCCCTTCTTAGTAGGTTCTGTGGAGAGAAGAGTGATTTTTTCTTGCCAAAAAAAAAAAAATCCCACAAAACAGTGTGTTAAATCTACCATCAGAGTGTTGTGCTATGTGAGGAGAATCCTTCAGTTTTCCTATAAAGTTTAGAAAACTAGATTATTTTAGTTTTAGACTAGATATCTTACAATATCATATGTACAACACATACTCCCATAAGACGAAAGCAGCCCTGCTCCCCAAGCTTTGATGGATCCATTTTGTTTGCAGAGTCCAAACTCCACAATAAACCAATAAAGCTGATAATCAAGAACAAATTGTGAAAATCATAGTCTTAATGGGCAGTTCCTTCTTCATTCTTAGGCCTTTTTTCTGTTTTCTTTTTTTTGTTGTTTTTTTTTAATCCTTACTCTTTAATGCCTTCCTGTCTTTAAGTTTGTATATTTTAAGAAAAGTATTGTTTTTCTCTAACATGCATAACACACATAAATTCTAACACATAAAATCTAACACGTATTATTCAAAACCTGCTTCCCATTTTCACTACCAAAAATGGAAAAAAAGATTAATGATAATTAAAGGGGTAAGTAAATGAAATCATAAAGTCCTATCCTTCTCTTGCTTTGGAAGATGTTACAAATTATTATACATCCTGTTAACTGTGAGCAGCATTACGGTGAGAATAAACTGGAGATTTCTTTACGTAGTCCCCATAAGCACTTGGGAAACACCCACTGCGGGGTTTAGGATTTTCAGAAAAAGTCCCTGAAACACATTCTCTCTGCAACAGCATCCAGCAGGATTTAAGATTTAAGCAAATGGGCACTGGAGGACCATTCTGGACACCTTCTGACATCTGAGCTCCTGGATCACTGCAAAAGATGTTGTCCAGAACATGGAAAACAGGAGACGTTTCAAGAAAATGGCCTTGTGTCACAAGTCTTCAGGGTTCCTTAAGGATACACAGCTTTTTGCTGCCTCATTTCAGGTCTGGACCCTGAGTGTAATTTACCTATGAGCAAAGTAATCTCAACATTTTTCACAAATTGTTGCAGACACTTTGTAAAGTAATGTGAAACTTTCCTGTCTATTAACTCCTGTCTATTCTGCCTTTCACAGTCTTTTCCTTTATGCCACTATCTTTGATAAACGTCTTAGGATTTGGTGACTTATTTTAGTTGGAGAATTTGCAATTAAAAGGCATTATGCCATGATCCTTATTCCTGCAGAATTCTGAGCCGCTCGTTCTACAATTCATATGATAATTCTCTATCATTATTGTATTTATAATTTTGGTACTAATTACGTCCCAGTGATAAGTCTTTTGAGGATCTCCAAATTTTGCAGAAGGTATTTTTGAATAGAGAGTGGAAAATGGGTCAATGCCCTAAGATGAGCAGTTCTTTTTGGTGGTTCCTTAGATATGATGACTTTGAGCTAATTGTTTGCCCTCGTTATTTTAATAGGGTACAAGACATGGTATTAATGGTACTCCAGGGACAACAGGAACACTCACAATTTCTAGTCTCCTGAGCTCAGTTCCATCTGCTTAAATTAATCCAGCAGCAGAATGAAATAATCATATTTCAAAGTCTGTCCTGCAACTATAGACTGTAGCAACAAGTAGAGATTCATTTAATAAAATTTTAGTCGGATAAAATGGTGGCATATCATCTAAGCTAATTTCTTACATTCTCTTTATACTAAGTGGAGAATGGTAGAGTCTTCCAGAGGAAAATATATATATATGTTAGGCATCTATGGGTTAGAGAATATATTACAGGTTCTTCTCTATTGTCAAGTGAAGGTACCTAAGCAACAAGCCTACATTAGGTCTCTAACTTTTAAACAATTAAAGAATTAAAGGTTAATCTAGAATACATTTACAATTCAGAATGCTTCAATAGCACTTACAGAACTATGTTCTCATGGATCTTTGTCTGTATCCCTGGTCAACTTACCTCTCCAAAGCTTAGATATTACTATGAAAATGTCATACCTGAAATCCATCATTCTGCTAACCGTGGCCCTAACTCTAATCTAGCCCTAGTCAGCCTGGAGTCAGGGAGTGGTGCAGAGGCATGCTATATCAGCCACAGACTCTACCAAAACTGGGCCTTCACTCTGTATTATGAAGAACTAGATGATACTACAAAAAAAGCTTTCTTGAGACCCATCACTCTCTTAGCCCTAACCGAAACATGAATCTTAATCTTATTTTAGCCTGTCCAGGTCCATAGAAGGGTAACTGTAGAGCTACTATGAATGTGCCACTGCCTCTTTCCAACTAGTTCCCTCACTCCACCAACTCAGAACCTGTATGATGCTACAAAAAAAAAAAAAAATCCCATTGGGTCCCTTTATTTTCCCAGCTCTAAAAATACCTCTAACTACCTCTAATCTTACCTAGTCCTGAAGCACAGAAGGGCATTTGCAGATAGATTTTAGATTGGCCATAATGTTTTTCACAAAGTGCCCTTATACCACCACACTATGAGTGTGGCTGTGGACAGTGACAGACTGTCCATCCACCTACTTTCCTGAATGAAGCTCAGCTCATCCTTGCTGTGTACGTGAGTTGTATGAATGAATAAGGCTCCTCTCATCCCCACTGCAAAAAATGATCAGGTCTGGGAAATTGCTGCCATTATCAATAAAAATCATACGTGAATTTGACTTGCTCTCAAACTGATGTTAAGAGCTCTCCTCTTTTGTGAGATTAATGGATATGGGGTACATTGGATTTGGATGGTCCACTGATCTCTTTTTGTTTATGAGAAAATCACACAGAGTATCCACCCTGTTAGGTGAATCTGGAAAGTGAGCTGGGACCTACCTGTTGCTGAATTTGTAGCACCTTGGCTTCTGGAGTATATTTGTATGGAAGCAAAAGCTATAAGCCTTTTCTCAGATGTTCACATGCTTCTGGGCTCCCACCCCCACCAGCTCCCACCCAGTTCTGAACTGTGGATGGGAAGATGACAAGATCCTTTTGGTGCTCCCATTCTGGCGTGCCTAATCCCGAACATGAGTGAGAAGCCTCATCTGCATAAGGAAGGATATGCAGTGGAACCCTTGTTTTTTGCTTCTGATATTAAACTGCCATCTGTACTTACTGTGGCAAATTTCTCAATTTCTGCTTCAGATGATCCATGAGAAGCCAGTCCAATATCCTAAAGCAAGTAAGCAAGCGAGCAGTGTTACAGTAGTGTGATTATTCAGCCCAAGGGAGAGTGAGGAAGGGAGAGGACCGCATCATTTCTAGCATGAATAGCATGAACTAGTCATTGTTTTTGTCACCTAAAATGACCTTCCATGGCTTCCAGGATGCCTACCTCTCCCTGATCCCTGGCTACATACTACTGGGAGACTCATTTGATGAGCGCTTAATCCTCAGAGCTCTCTGTACAAAATTAACCATCTCTTGGTTTATTGCTGAACTATCCCTGTCAAGATTTAAGGGGAGGCGTTGGAAGGAAAGATAGCAAGGTGTGTTTTTTTATCTTTGTTAGTATATCTTGGTGTCCCACTCTCTTTCTGGCAGTGCTCAAGGGTACCACAGATCCCTGATGACTACGCACTAGGAAAGTGAGGGAAGGCAGCATGCCAGCAAAGGAGCAAAAGAGAGGGGACTGAGGGAATAGTCCTGCTACAAAGATGGAGTACTCCACTTCTTACCAAAGGCACACAGGGAGAACTCCTTTTACTCTCTTGTATGCTCCCTCTTGAATTAACTGTTATTCTGCTAGCAGGAATCTTTAAGTTTTCCCTCTTAGCTATGCTGGGAACCGTATAATGCAGCAAGTAAACAGAAATAGTTTTTCTTCATCATTCATTTTCTCTTGTTGAATGGAATAAAGGAGAATATTCATGAGATGAAATTCAACTGTGAAAATATTTTGTATTATTCACCAAATAATCTCATATTCTGCAATATAGATGAGAAAAGAGTTAAGTTGAAAGTTTTAAAATTACTACAATTTCTTATTTCTAGTATACCTTCACTTCTGGTGTTGAGCTGAAGAAGGATCCTCCAGAATACATTATAGAGCATCAGGATGAGCTTAAGAACCACTAAATCTGAATCTGAGGATCACCAATATTTGTGACCAAAATGTAAACTAGCATGTTTCCAGTTTGATACAATTGGAAGGCACATTATGTGAGGTGAACTAGTTTTCTTTTTCAGATATTCTGGCAGGAACCTACATCATATAACTGCCATGCACTTCTTGCCAATTTCAACACAGGGCACTCATTAATTAATCTAAAATATGATTTTTTTTTCTCTGATGTGGTTTTGAGGCACATTCATAGTTTTGAAGTCTTTAGTTATACAAGGTCACAGAGTTCACTTGGGTCTAGCACTGACTGCTCACACTAAGTAGCCCCTTATGGTATAAAGAAGCCCTGATATATTTTTGTAGCCTCTTCACTAGTGTGAGCAATGCTGTGAGAATCTGGTGAGCTGTAAAAGGAAAAACTTCTCCAATTGATGGCATGGTGGCATTGTGTGAGCTGAAAATGAGACAGGGGTCTGGATGGCTCTTGCTGGTTAGGTTCATGTGGTGAATGAGAGGACATCAGGAGAATAAGGAACTCAGTAGTTAGGACACACCACACCACAGAGTCTCTGCCGGCATCCTGCAGTGGACTAATGTAGCCCTCCCACAGAGTAGTCCCACAAATGCTGCTCCCCTTCCTTTTACAAGTCGCCCACAGAGCATAACATCACCACTCCCTTGGAGTAAATATCTCCTGGGACGCTGCTCGTCTACCACCACTGTAAGTAGGAGACGACCAAGTCTTAACACAGCAGTTCAAGCATAGGGAGATACATGCCTTTGAGGCATGTTCGTCCTGCTATTTGGAGTAGTTGGTCAAGCAGTATCTTACCTGTGAGAACTGGGCAAACTCCTTGACAGCTAGCATGGGAACATGACCCAACAACTCATGGCAACAGTCTCTGTGAAAAAAGGGACCTTCACCTTTAATAAAATCTATTTTTTGCTGTTTTACATGAACAGCCCGAGAAGAACATGAAGAACTTTATCCAGACCCTTATGAGAGAGCTAGTGGGAAGATTAAAATCATTTCAGCTGCCTGCATACCTGGCCTGGCTCTGAAGAGAGGGGGATAGAGCATTCCCTTCTGCCAGGGCGAGCAGCTGCCCCCACTGCTCTGATTATTGGCTCCTCTGGGATGGCATGGGCAGTAATCTCCCATGTCACAACATTTTTGAAAGGCCGCTGTTTTGTCCCAGCATACAACAAAAACGTCTGTGCAAACTTGTAATTTCTCATGAAATGTAATTGCTGCTGTCTGGCCAGCACTTTCTGGGAGAGTTTCACAGCAGGGAATCAAAACCCAGCAGATGGTAAATAAAGGCAGAATGAAAAGATTAAACCAGATATTCCCCAGTCTTTTCTTTCTCCAGACAATTTTGCAAGGGAGATAGAGACTCACGCCCTCTCATGCATGACTTCCCCCTTCAAACTCTCCAGCTACCAGTTCTCAAATTATTTCATTCTGTGGATTACTGAATAGAACTCCAGAGTTACAGAAATATCCCCAACAATTTAAGAAGAATAGAGGTGTGCCAAGACATTCTACTTACGATTCTGGGGAATGCATAGGAGGAGAGAAATGCCTTATATAGTGTGTACTCTAAAAGACACAAAATGATAGGCTGCCAAGGAAGTCACAAGCAGACAGCAGTCCTGCAGCTGGTCTCAGCTGGAAACCTGTTTTTTGTATAAAAGAAAATGGGACAGAATTTAGGAAATTTTAGGGTTAATTTAATAACAAGCTCACTCCAGGGAAGCAGTTTCAGGTACCCTTCATGCTCTGTAACAGCAGCTTCCTCTACCTAAGGATAATAGGGCCATGTTGGCTTGTCATATCATGCCTTATCACCAATCCTCCGCTTACTCACACAACAATTACGTGAAGTAGGGAAGTAGTGTCATATTTACATACATATACCCACAACCTCCTACATGTAAATGCTATGTCTTTGGTCATACAGGAACACTATGGTCAAACAGGGAATAGAATTGGCATTTTCATTCTTTGGCTATTTTACTAATCACTATTGCTATCAAAGACAGGGTGAAAAATGGTTCCTCAATCAGTCTAGTTCAAAACACCCCAGGACAATGATACTGGGGCATACTGTTCAACCTCATTGCAGTCTGTCTATGCATGCTCTAAATGTAAGCGCTGGCTCACAACTGCCAAGGTTCCATTTTAGCTTTCTGTCTGGGCTTGATTAGAATGGGAACGTTCAGGAAAGACAGCAAAACAGTCCTCAGTGGAGGTGAGGACACTAAAATCTGGCCCTTAACTATTTAATATCTGAGTTTTCATCAGTGTTCTTATCTCCTATTTCCTCCATCTGATTTTTTCAGCATAATGTTTATCTAGAACTAAATACACATTGCGGTGATATGATCATGTGGTTTGCTTTGCACAGGTCCATTAACAGGTCAGAATTACACAGAATTTT